TTTCTTTAGCTGGAAAAGCCCTCTAAGACCATCAAGTCCAACCATTCCCCCAGCACAGCCAAGGCCACCACTGACCCCATGGGCCACATCCACGTGGCTTTTAAATCCCTCCAGGGATGAGGGCTCCACCACTGCCCTCTGTACAGCCTGTTCTGATGCTTGACCACCCTTCTGTCAAGATCTTTTTCCCTAATATCCATCCTCTCCTACTCTGTTACACCTTGTTCCCTCTCCTCCTGTCCCTGTTCCCTGGCAGCACAGCCCGACCCCCCCGGCTGTCCCCTCCTGCCAGGGACTTGTGCAGAGCCACAAGGGCCCCCTGAGCCTCCTTTGCTCCAGGCTGAGCCCCTTTCCCAGCTCCCTCAGCCGCTCCTGGGGCTCCAGCCCCTTCCCCAGCTCCGTTCCCTGCCTTGGGTTCATGACACTCATCCCCTTTTACCACCATAAATTGTGCTCCCCCGTGAAATGAGCTGGGGAGGTTTCTGGATGTGTGCTGGGTTCCTTCAAGCTGCCAAAATTCCTCCTTTCAGGGAAAAGGGAAAACCCACCTCCTGGGCCACATATCTGAAATGGGCTATGGCAAAATAATTGCAAAGTGTTTTCTTTCTCTCCTTTTCTCTCCTCCCAAATGGCTGCTCTTTGGAGCTGAGATTTTTACCCACTTTCTCATTTTATCTCCATAAAACTGGAAAATTGAAATGCTGAAATATTACACTTTAATCAAATGCATAATGAGTTCCTCTAGTTTGCCTTTCTCTCTCTCTCATTTTTTTTTTTTTAATAAAGAAACAAGGTAAGAAGCAGAAGAGAAAAAAAATTCAGGGAGGCAGAAAATAAAGCAGCAAAATAACCTGAGATTAAATGTCAGTGTAAAAAAAAAAGCTCAAATAAAACCCTTCCAGTTTCTGAGTCCCCATTTGGGTTTGGATTGCTGTTGCTCCCAGGCACGGAGCAATGGTATTTGCTGTAGAGATTTCCCCTCCTTTTTCTCCCTTTCTCTATCCACATTGCCTTAAGTTTTTTCACCACTGCTTTTCCCTGGTGGTTCTCTGGTGTTGTTCCCCCAAGCCCCCAAGCCCAGGTTTTGTGCCTCCTGCACCTGAGACTTGAGACCCACAGAGCCCCAGCCCAAACCATTCTGGGATTCCATAAAAAGGCCTCTGGGGGGTGTGAGATGTCCCTCTGGAGCAAACCATGGGCTTCAAAATTGCTGGATAAAGCCCTTCACTGGGGGCTGTTCCACTGTCCTGCCTGAGGCCAGCCCAAAAAAAACCCTAAATTTGAAGAAAATGGGTTTTTTGAGCCAGTTGAGACCATCCTGACTTCCCAAAGCACCTTGGTTTTGCAGAGATGGTGAAAAGTCCCATATCAGGCTGAAATTACCGATGTTTTTGTGGTGGGCAGAGGCTGGGGGGCAGATCTTGCAGGTCTGGGAATGATGGCGACCCTCAGACCTGCCCCAGGATGGTGCTGGTGTGCCGTGTGTGGCCCAGGGCTTCCCAGCTGCCCTGCATCGCCTTTTAATTTCTGGATATCCTCCTGGAGAAGGGGAGAATCCTTCCCCACGGTACCGAGGGGTGAGGCAGCATCCCCAAAACACCCGTCCCCGTGTCACCCGCCACACCCCGGGGCCAGAGAGCATCCCGGAGGAGCGGAATTCCGCGGCCGTCACTTTTAAGGAGAGTCGGGGGCAAAGGCGGGAGGATGCCCCAAACGGGGGGCGCTGGACCCCAAAAGCAGAGCTGGGGCTCACCAGCAAGCACCAGGCGGGCAGCAGGGAGCCCGGGGCTAATTTTAACAGCAACCTGTGCCTGCGGCATCTGCGGAGACGTGCGGGGGATCGGGTGTCCGGGACGGGCGGGGATGCGTGTGCGGATGCAGAGCCGCAGCAGCGGGGGCTGAGCCCCGTGAAATGCCCGGGACAACTGCCGGGGGCCACCGGAGCAGCTGCCCGAGCCAACTGGGGCTGCTGGAAGGGCTGCAGCCCCGGCCCGGGGCCAGCAGCCGTCTCAGGAGAGCTTTTTGTTTTTGTTTTATAGGGTCCTGGCACCCGTCCTGCAGGCATCAGCTGGGGACGGGCCAGGGGAGGCGCGGTGGGCATCCCTCCCCGTCCCATTCACGCGTGGGTTTGGCTGCGTTGCGGGCTTTTTAGCGCTTAAAGAAGTGTCCCTTCGTCGGGTGTGTGTGACACAGCCAGCCTGACATCTCGCCTCGGTATTGGGGGTGATTTGCTGCTGCTGACAGAGGCGGGTGGGAAGTGGTTGTTTTTCCATGCTGAGACACAAACGGGGCTCAGGAAGCGTTTCATTACAGCATAAACACGGAAAATTAGATTAGATTGGATGTGAGGAAGAAGTTCTTTTTTATGCTGAGGGTTGGGGAAGCCCTGGATCGGGTTTCCCAGAGCAGCTGTGGCTGCCCCTGGATCCTTGGGAGTGTCCAAGGCCAGGATGGACAGGGCTTTGGAGCAAACTGGGAGAGTAGAAAGTGTCCCTGCTCATGGTTTTAGATAAGCCTTGAGGTCCCTTCAAGCCTAAACTATTCTGGGATTCTAGGAAAAAAAAAATAAAAAAAATGAAACAACAAATTTTGCTCCTTCCTTGGAAATATTAATGCTGTTGGGACATCATGTGCTGCCTGCCAGTCCTGAGCCGGGGCTGGCTGAGCCCTGGGGTGGGCAATGATCACAACAGCACGGTGACAGCAGGGGACAAAGTCCAGCCTTTCCCTGCCAAGAGCCCCCCACTGTAGCAATGTATCTGAACAGCTTGGGCCATGAGGTGCTCCAGACAAACCGAACTTAGCGTTTATTGTCACACCCTCCGGAATTTCTCAAGGTTGATGAGACACGAGCTACTCTAAAAGCAAGAAAGATGAGGTGAAAAATGAGGAAACAGGACCCCAAGAGCCAGATAACAGAGGGTGGTGGAACACCTGGGCTGAGACCAGCGCTGCGCCCCAAGGGGTGCAGGGACAGCACAGGGGCAACGATGAGAAGAAGAGCAGTTTTAGAATGTATAAATAGGTGTGTGATGTAAACAATAAATGGCTTCTGCGAAATCATATTGGTTCGTTGGTCAGAGGTCTTGAGCTCCCGCAGCCCGTGAGTCAGCACAGCCTCCCGAGGCACTGGGAGAGGAGATCCGAGCTGGGATGCAATGGGATGGGCACTGTGGAACTTGTCTTGCTCCCCTTGGAGGGGAGTGCAGAGCAGCAGCTGTGTGAACGTGCCCAAAAAGGGCCCTTTTGGGTGGAGGTTGCAGCTCTGGAGAAGGCTCGAGGAAGGGCTGGCAGCTCTCCCTGTGGATCAAGTTAATCCTCCCCAGGCATCTGCCCTGGGGCTGTGGGACGGGTAAGGAAGGGGTTACAGAGATTCAGGTTACCAAGCTCAGATCAGGAGAAAAAAACCAAAAAACCACCCCCCCCCCCCAAAAAAAAAAAAATAGAAAATCAAACCAAAAAACAAACCCACAACAAACCCACAAACTCAACCCAGAGACAGACCAAATGCCATAATCCAGGCAGACAAATCCATTGCGCATCCGAGTCCGGAGGCTGCCGCGCGCTTAAACCTGCCAGATGTACGGGATGGATAAGGCTAAGCAGGGATTAAGGGGGCTCCCCCCGGCGGGACGGCAGCCACAGCAGGCAGGGGGACGGGGGCAAAAGGAAATAAAACCAGCCTGGGCATGGTGGGAAGGCTGTGGAAATGTCGCTTTGCAGCAGAGTGAAATGATTCTCTGGATCCTGCGCTTTGACAGAAATCCCTCCTGCACAGCGGGGGTTTCTGACTCCATTAAAACAGGTTTAAATCGAGATGTGCGCCTGTTTGGGGTTTTTTGGGTGGCCCTTCTTTAGGCTGGGGGTGTTCTTTGCACCAACAGGTGGATGGCTCTGAGCTTCCAGATGTTTCCAGGCACTCTCTGCACCCCTCTGGGCTTGGCTGGAGCCATTTTAGGTCAGTGATGCCCCAGCTGATAAATTCTGTCAGTAACTGGGGCGTCAACACAATGGGCCACTGTGTCACTGCGGGGAGGGGATGGGGATGGGTTATGATGGGGACTGGGACTGGGATGGGGACAGGCACAAGCCCCCAGCGGCCCTGGTTCTGGCACAGCCTGACACGTGTTTCCCGAGTGCCACGGCCAGGGATGTGTGCAGGGAGCACTCCAGACATGTGACCCACGCGTGTGTGACATGGGAGAGGACAGGGGCTGTGGCCAGGGGCAGCACGAGCGTGTGAACGTGGCTGTGTGTGAGTGTGCCTGGGTGTGACGTGTGTCTGTGTTCACACATGTGATCTCTGTGTGTGCTCTGAGTGCGCTTGTGGCGGGTGTCTGTGCACATACGGGGTGTGCGGGTGTCTGTGCACACCTGTGCTGCTGCACGAGCCACACGTATGTGTGCAGGGATGCTGCCCTGCCTGTGTGTGCATGGCAGCATGGGTGTGCACGTCTGCATGGGTGTGTGCCATGTGTGCGGCCGGCAGAGCTGTGTTTGTGCGGGAGAATGGATGGATGGATGGATAGATGATGGATGGATGGATGGATGGGCGGGTAAATGTATGGCTAGATGGTTGGACAGATGGAAGGAAGGATGGATGGATATGAATGACCTGAAGGATGGCTGGACAGACGGATGGACAGACAGATGGAAGGATGGCTGGACGGATGGACAGACAGACAGGCGGATAGAAGGACGGATGGCTGGATGGGAGGACTGCTGGACGGGCAGACGTCAGGACAGACGGACAGATATAAGAACGGCTGGACAGACGGACCGACGGGCGGATGCGCGCGCACGCGACCCCGCGGCGCGCGTGCGCGCCTCCCCTCGAGCGCGGGCCGCCCCGCCCCCGGGCGCCCATTGGTCGCTGGCGGGCTGGGGGCGTGTCCCGGCGGTGGCCCCCGCGCTGCCATTGGCCGCGCGCCCCTTTGTGTGCCGGCCGAGCGCGGCCGCCGCCAGTTGCCGGCGCGTCCGGGGGGCACAAAGGCCGCAGCATGGTCCTGGTGCACGTCGGATACCTGGTGCTGCCCGTCTTCGGCTCCGTGCGCAACAGAGGTACCGCTCCCAGCAACGCGGGTTCGCGTCCCGGGGCCGCTAGCGGCGGCGAGGGGGGGCGGCGCGTCCCGGGTCCCCGGCGGCAGGAAGGGGGGGTTGCCCCTCAGCGTTCCCCTCAGCCCACCTCACCCAGCCCGGCGGCATCCCCCTTTCTGGGTCGCCGCCCGCCCCACACGCACCACGTTTGGGGACCTCCCGCCCGCACCTTCCGTCTCTGCTGCGGTAGATCCATTCCCCCCTCCCCCCCTACCCCGTTCTTCTTTTACGGATTTTATTTTATTTTTTAATTTACCCTCTCCCCCACCCCTCACCGTAGCCACCAGGCCATCCCAGCGTAGCTGTAGCCGATAACAGCCATTTTTGTACCTCCATCCTGTGTAGTAGCTGAGTTACATTTGCACTGTAAATTCCTGTTAAGTGGATTCGTTTTGCTGTGGTCGTCGTCGCAGAGTCTCTTTGGGGTAGGGTGGGGGCAGACACCCCCAAATTGCGGCCAAACCCACAATCACGGGGCGGCTGAGGTTGGAGAGGGACCACGGTGGGGTCATCTGGTCCCACCTCCCTGCTGAAAACCTTCCAAAAAAAAAACCATTAAATTTGGGGAGGGGAAGCGCAGCGATTGGCCGCGATTCGGAAAATCGGGCTGGCAGAGAGTTGGGGAGTGGGATGTGTGTGGTCGAGCAGCCGCGGGCGGAGGGTGCAGCATCCCTGTCCCCGCGGTGACACCGCCGGGCATCGCCCCCAGCCCCGTCCCTCCCTGCAGCCACAAGTGTCCCGTCCCGCCCGCGCACCCCCAAAAAAACCGGGCTGCCGAAAGAGACGACTGGCAAAATGGTTTTCCATTAAACAGGGATAACATTTTTTTCTGCTGTGCTGAATTACTTCCTGTTCTTATTTTGTGGGTAATTTTTTCTGTACCGAATATCCTTTGGTTGTGTATCTCCACCTTTTTTCTTGTACTAAAACTAAAGCATGGTCTGTATTTTTTTACATTACCTAGTTTCTGATGTAAATCTCTCTGTAGAGACATACCCTGCTGAAATGTAATGTGCTGTAGCCTATACATCTGCTCAGTGTACGCTGCTTTTGTTCTGTTGCCCTTCCATAGCATGGTGGGCCTTGCCTTTTTGTATTGTGTGCATGATGACATTGTTACACACGATTCCACTAATACTAATATACGATCTCTCAATAAAGAAACTAGTTTTCCTATATTAACCTAGTGTGCTTTTTCTATTGCTGTTTTCCCATTTATTGTCGTATCCTGCTGTTTAGATTTTTTCCTTGCTTTCCCCTCATCGTGAGGTTTGAGTGAGTGGATTTTTTCTCCTTCATAGAACAGATATGGGGGCTTTTAAATACATTTTTTCCCCTCACTTCCTATCCCATATCTACCCTCAGCATTAGTCTGTGTGTACATACTCCCCAGCGCACAGTCCATGTTGCTGTTGTGCCGATGCAGAATTCTGGTTTTACTGCAGGACAGCCAAAAAAAAAAAAGTGTACAAATCTAATCCCTCATTATTAATCAAAAAAAAAAAAAAATTGATGAAGGGTCTGCTGCTTATTCATTCTAGTTACAACATTACATGTTCCTTTCCAGACTGATCCCTCTGTATGGATGGGGAGGGAACTGTTTATTTTTCGGAACTCCTGATTACCAAGAGGTAAACCAACCTGAATTAAAAAAAAAAAAATAAAATAAAACTCCTCCTCTAATCTTTAAGCAGGGTATTTTAAACATATACATCTCTGCGAGTGCCCTGCCCACCATCTGCCAGGCGAGAAGTTGCTGTGCCTCGGTCCCGCGGTGACTGGCACGCTATAAATATCTCTACTAGACCCCTGCAAGGCAGGGCTCGTAAAAACGTCCCAGCTGCTAATGTTGTAACTACATTTTTCCTGCTTGAAGCCTCCAGGCCCACCATCTTCTGAATAAAATCTAGATTTGGTCAAAAAAAAAAAAAAAAGAAAAAAAACTCAAAAACCCAACTACGGGGTTGGGAGAAAGTCATGGGGAGCCTTAAAATATTGGAAGCATGGAGGAATGGATGAATTGCGGTCAGCGAGCAGTTTTGCTGCGGCTGCAAAGCGATGATAATAGTAGTGGTCACCTCTCCTTGTGCCTGCAGCAGACCTCCTCTCCCAGGTCTGCAAAATGGTCCTGTAAAACATCCCCGTTTTGGCTTGGATGCCACGAGGAACTGAGGGAAGCCAGGGCTCCCAAAGCCAGGAGATGGGGCTGGGAGGGGAGGCGGGGAGAGCATCTTGTCTTTAATTACATTTCCACAGAAGCGTGGGGGGGAGACGCAGGGTTGCTGATTGGTCTTTAATGAGAGGAAGACAAATTCAGCAGGTCGGTGGTTCCCACCCGCTAAAATTTCACGAGGAGCCGCTGGCACAGAAAACAAAAGCCAGTGGCTCCTGCAGCCTGCCCTGCCTTTACCCCAGCATCCCTACCAGAGACGCATCATTTCGCAAGGCTGTGCCTTTCCACCTCTCTCCTAGCTCTATCCTGAGTTTGGTTGGTTTTCTCTATAAACATTTATTTATGATTTCCTTCTCCATATTTCCTTTTCCGTGTACCTCGGTGACTGTTTGGCCATCCTGTCCCCCTCTGTATGAGCACCGGTGGGGTGCCCCCCTGCTCCCCCCTGGATGTAGTGTATGCCGTGGCCCTTTGTTCTCGCTCCATCCTCGCCCCGGGCCAGCGCTGAGCTCCTCCGTGCCTGACACGTCCCCATACACATCCCGAGGAGGGAGGCTGTGCTTCTCGCTTGCATGAAGGGAGACATGCATGCCTGTTGGGGCTGATCATCTTCCAATGTGATTTTTTTTTTTTTTTCATTTATTATTTTCTCCCCCCTCTCCTGCC